AGTCTTCATACTCAAAGGATCTCCCTGCAGATCTCCAGGGAACAGGGTGCCCCATCATGGGCACACACAGCCTGAAATCCAAGAACATCCTGAGGTTACTGCAGAGGAAGAATAGCCTCTCTGCAACAAAATACTTAAGACAAACAAAGCAAGAGCTTGAAAAACCCTCTTGGGGCACTGCAAGTGGAATCATAGAATCAATCACAGAATGGTTTGGGTTGGAAAGGACCTTAAGATCATGCAGTTCCAACCCCCCTGCCACGGGCAGGGACAACTCACACTAACCATGGCATGCAAGGCCCTGTCTAACCTGGCCTTGAACATGGCCAGTTCCAAGATTATGCTTCCAGATGGCTTCCCCATACATTCAGGACCGAGCATGATGTACCCCACTTCTGGCCTGTCTGAAGGGACACTTGGTGACTTTTAAAATCTAACTAAGATAAACTTAGTATTTGTATGTATCTCTCTCTACTTTCAAAGTGTATAAGCACAAACCACGTAAGACAAAGATATTAGGGACTAGGCAGGACAGAATGCACAGCTTCAACTCCAGCCACTCCAGGAAATAACTCCTGATCCCTCCAAGCCACCCTGCGGTCCCAGACACCCGCTGTCCACGCACAGAGAGAGGCTGAGAACAGAGAGTACGTTTCAGATAGATTTGCCTTCAGTTTTGCATGTCATATTATGTTTTGAAAACACATTTTTACCTCCTTAAGCAAAAAAAAATAGCTACACTACTGCACAGTGACTCTTTGTTCTTGTGGATTCAATCTACTTTATGGCTGTGTTCATTACATATTAGAAAACCCAGGCCGAACACAAGTCCTCCCCCCAAGGTAACATTTACATTGACTTCAAAAGGCCTCCCTGCAGAAGAAAATGAGGGATTTTTTTAAACCTTTAACTATTTTGTGAGAAATATACTGCACCAAACCACCACCATTTTGGGTTCTGAATGGTTTTGCCCTGTGCAAAGGACGCTAAAAGCAAGTCTCTGTGTAGCTGAGACAGCAGGAGGCAGGATCCTGGGACCAGTCTTTCACCTACACTCCTGCCCAAAACAGGCTACGGCTTAGTCAGAGTATTTACTTTGCAGAACAGGGAAGAACAGAACTAGTTTTCTCCTTAAGGTAGTAGGAAGGCATGCACAGATACAAAAGGAATGGATGGAGCTGAAGTGAGCAGATTCTCGAGGTCCTTGCACACACATACCATACTCATTTTCAATTGCCTGTCCACACCATAACAGAGAGTTTCCATGGGAGAATCCCACTCCTAAGGCACCCAGATCTCATCCCTACCACCACCATGTGTGGAGCAGATCAGGTGCATGCTGAACAGGGATTTCAGGACAACTAGCAGCCTATCTGCTCAGAGGAGCGCACAAGGCACCCAGCTGGAGTCTGCTTTACACCCAAAAACTTCCTGCTAAAACTGTTCTAAAAAGTCTTAATATCTTCAATGAAATCAAAGGTCAGGGAAAAAAAAAAAGAGAGGGGAAATAACCATAAAAACCCTTAAAAAAAAAAAATCTCAGCCTCTTAATAGTGCTATCTGCAGGCTGAATTCAGGATTTTGACCTAGCAAGCTTAATAGCATACTATTAAAACAATTTTTTCCCCCAGTTTTCTTTCACCTTTGGACACAGATAAGCAGCATGACTGTGCCAGAGCAAGATGCAAGAGTCTTACAAGACGAGTGAAGCACCTAAATGCAAATAAATGCACTGGTCTCAAATGGAGCCTCATGCTGTACCTTCCTCAAGACATGCTGAACATAATTTCAGTTTAATATTCTGTTTCTCATTATGGGCCTTGGAGACTCTCTCAAGCACCATGAAAAGCAGAATTAACCCAGCCCTCGGCACTGGGGGCAATCCAGTCAAATTATTCATGCTGGTCTTTTGCTTCGATTTTTGTAGTCTTAACTTAATGTTCTTAAAACAAATCTGAAAGGAGAGCAGCTGACAAACAGTACAGACTTTACTTAAGGCATTACAGACAGCCATGTTCTGCAGCCTTGAGTCATTAAGCACTGAAGCCAAGGGGGATTTCATCGGTGCTGGGTGTAAAGGCTGCAGCCCCGACATGGAGCTCATGGTAGTCACAGCCAAGCACTGAGAAGGAAGAATGTTAGAAGAGTTAAAAAGAACAGAACGAGGAGGGGAGTAGGGGTGGGGGGAGAAGGAAGGAGGGGAAGGAAGACACACACACACCCCACCACCACCATCCCCCCCTTTTCTCTTTGTAATTTAGCTGCAAAGATTAGCTCAAATCCTGATTCTGGAGACAGGGAAAAGGTAAGAAATCATTTGCAGGTGTTAGCATTTTTCTACACATCTTCAGGGCAGCGCAACTCATTTCAAGCTGAAAAACTGGCATAGGTACACTTGGCAGGTAGACAAGACACAGCAACGTGGGTGGAGAACCAGTTTCTACCCCTCCAAGTTGCACTCACATGGAAACATCGGCATGTCCATGGAATACCCCTCACTGCTCCATAAAGAGATTAATTACGTTTCTATGTATGCAGAAACTGGGGTAGAGCCTCATGCAAGAGCAGCCGGGTCCCAGGTGCTGCGGGCAGGCAGAGCAGTGACACCAGAGAAGCCTGACGCATCCCAGGCCAATTGGCATCTGCAGCCACATCATCCTCCCCTGAATGCCATTACCTACTCTAACTTTGTTTACCAAGAAATAAGACCATTTTCACTCCACAGAATGAATGTGGCCTGGGGCAGATGCCAGGAAAAAAGGGTGGAAAAAGCTGCCCCTTATTTATTTATTTTAACAGAACAAGGCAAAACACTTTACTGCTAGAAATAAACATTAAACCTGCAGAAGCACCACCCCCCCCCCTTGCCAAAAACCCCACTGCTCCCTCCCTTACTGCCTCCTCCACCTCCTCTCCCTCCAATATTGTAAGTAGCACAAAAGATCACATTACAAATGCCAGCTGTGGCTCTTTTGGAAGGTGGCCTCCATCTCGGAGGTAGTATATGTTCCTCACAGCCTAAGTGGTTGCTATGGTAAATATGCTTTTTATTGAACAGCAGAGCGAAACAGCTTTTAAAGAGACCCATAAGAACCCCATAAATGGTCAAAATACAAGGCAGATCAACCTCAGCCTCCCTGGAAACAGGTTTCTCTATTTTCCAAAATGATTGTGGTGTTTGAACTCTGTTTTTTTTGTGTATTTGGGTTGTCCATTCATCTCCACCTCACCCACACCCAAGTGGTGGGGATGGGATCCCAGCCATCCCCCCACACCATGAGCTGCTTCGGCTCTTAAAGACTCTCCTGCATAGCAGGAAGCTTTAGGGACAGCAGATGCTCAGCACTGAAGCACAGGTGATCCCCAGCAAAGCTACCAACCAAGCTCAGCCTGCTCTCCCAGGCTGCAACCAGCCAGGACAAGCCTCCTGCTACCTCCCCATTGTCTCCTACAAGCCTGACACCATTCCATCCTGCCAGCCCCAGGAATGCTCCTATCCTGTGCGCTGGTCCTCCAGCACAACAGTGAAAAAAAAAATCATTAAAATGAGAAAGATACTTTAGTTCATTTCTCATTAAGATGACAGCATGTTTTGATGGCTGCAGAGTTCTAAATAACCAGACAAACATATTTTTCCTGATCTCCCCCTCCAGTGATGGCCCAAGTGGCCTTTCCAAAGAAGGAAAAGCAAAGTCATTCTGAGAAAGTGAGGCAACCAGCAACAACTAGGCAAATACCAGTCTTGTTCCCATCACTCTCTGCCACACTGAGGCATGGTTTAGAAGCTGTGGACTCTAAAGGATAGGAAATCGATTTTCTTTTAAAGCAAAAGGCACTCATAGCAATGGGCTGACAATTCTCAAGTTAAAGAGACAACAATGGAAAAAGCAGCTTTTCAAAACTGTTGAGTATGATTGGAGATTTCAAACAAAACAAACGTGTCTTGGATGATCTACCAGCTACAGCAGCTTTAGACTGTATAGCAAAAGACAAAGAATGAGCAATGTTTCTTTCTCCTGGGATTCACCTTATCATCCAATGGTTATAAAAACATTTTAAAAAATCATGTAAAACTTGGAGAGAAAGTATTTCAGAAGAAATATTCCAACCCATAATGTGCCGATTTCTCCAGAGGTAAAGCTCCCAGATGAACACTCGGAGCGAAGATGCTCCTTAACATCAGACGGCACTGACACCAGCTATATAGGTGAGGATGGGCCAATGCATACCATCCCTCTTGCATAACACCATATGAACAAACAGCTTCCTTTTAGACCTTTAGGGAATAAAGCAAGTAAAATAAACCCCCCAAGTCCCTCTCATGCAAATTTGTATTGATATTTCAAACCCAACATTATTTTTACAAGAGAAGCAAATTTAACCAAAAACTGAAAAATTAAGCAGTTAAGCTATTTTTTGCAATGTTACTCATTATAGAGAGTTATATTTTGCAGGTAAGTAGTAAACATCTGAATCACACTTTGTTCATGGGAAGTGATCACAACATAAAGCAACGTGCTCTGCTGAGCTTGGTTCTGCTGAGCCTGCACCCAGGTAAAATACTGCCCAACTCTCACAAACTTACTTTCAAGATTTTGCAGCAAGACAAGATTTTCCTTAGTAAAGGCCATAGAACAGGCTTGGGTTTTATTCTTTTTTTAATGCTTTCCAAAGTGTCTCTTCATTCTCTTCAGTTCAACACTGCCTGATGTGTAAACCAGCCTCACTGGACTCCACTGCCACTAGTTAATTCTGCAATGTGCAAATTTGGAGTGTTTTCAACTCTGCTCTCCTATGAGGCACATGAACAGCAATTTCATGAACAGCCCAGCAACAGCAAATGCATTCCCTCCTTTTACCACGGGCTCATAAGGGGCTTTGTTTGAAGTATTTCTCTTTTAGTTTGTACAAAAGAAAACTGATGACAATCAATGCCATTAATGTCAAATGTCAAAATGTTTTTATAAACAAAGGAAGAACATCTTTCTGCATTTACTTACAACAATGTGTGCTGGAGATGGAGACCTAGCATCCTTGAGGGCTTGTCTACTCTGAAGGCTCCCTGCCTGAACATCAAGCAGTGGCCATTTCATCTGCAGATACTGGATGGAGGAAACAAAAATGGGAAAAGAAAAATGAGTTCAGAAAAGAAAGGCAAAAAAAATAATAATAAAATAAATCTTAGGTAATATGGTTAAAAGATATAAATTAAAACTAATGCAAAAAACTGAAACAAAACTTAAGACGAGTTTGCATGTTTGCGGAGACAAAAATCTGCGCAGAACACTTGATTTCATACCACTGCATTACACTCCAGGAATAAGAAAATAGAGCAGATTGCAAAGACAATATTACACTGATTTTACTAATCATAACAAACCTAGAAGCAGAATAAAACCTACACAGAAACAAAATACCAAAACCATGAAGAGGATGGGACAAGGGAGGGGAAGGTGGATTATCGGTCTCAGGAGAGAGAATACAAGTATCACGGGTTAAGAATATGATCTCATTATTTAATGGGTCATCTGTCAGCCTTCTTTCAACAAATGCACGATGTCAACTCCTCTGGCTTCCCAGCACTTTAGAAGCCCTAAAGCAGAGGTCTACCCCAGAAGGACTGAGCACTGCTGGGTCTTCACACCTATTTTCTCTACTTTTTACAGTTTCTGGAAGTCACCATGCATTATTTGCCTCTTGCTTATCTTCTGTCAGACAACCCTTAAGGGACTTCAGAGTGTAACTTATTCAACTACAAGGCCAAATTTGATAAGCTCTCTCACTGATGATGTCCAAGACAGTACAGCCTGGTACACTCAGGCCCAGCTGTGCCGGCCAGGCACTCATGGATAGACACAACTTCTTCACGTCACTGTCATCAGCAGATAGGCTGAATACACACAGGCTGCAAGTCCACAGCACAAAGGGGTGTTGATTCAGGAGCAAAAGAAAAGCTTGACTGCACTTCAAGAAGGAGCAGAACATTCCCACATATTTAACCAGCATCAAGTATCCAGTAAAACCTCTGCTCTCAGGTATGCACATCCTCTCACTAAACTCACTGGAGGAGCCATTGCAACCCAGCCAGGTCACAAAGCAGAGCCCAAACCTTCCACCAAACAGGTGAAGTCTCGAGCTGGTACCCAGATTGCTGCATCAGAAGTGCTTGATTCTGACCAAGAGCAGCCCCACAGAGAAATTAGTTAATCCAAACAGACTTCTGCACAGTACACCTAAACATAACTTCAGACCAAGCTTTTCTCTCTGCACGGTACTTCACTGTGCCAGTTCAGCATAGTGTTAACATGTGATGCCTGAAAGCCCTGTATTGCGCTGGAAGAAATATGTACCACCACATACCTTCAGCCCCCTCCCAGCAGCTGTACACATAGATCAGGCCACTGCTGTTAAGCAGATCCTGTTTAAGCACTAGACTCTGGTTGATCTAACAGACCTACTCCTAAAAAATAGCTACATAAATGGTTATGGTTACCCATTCCTCCTGGCTTTTATTTATTTTTAGTCAGAGTAGCCTTGAGGTAGAACCGCACACAAACAACCCACCACCACTGCAGGCGAACAACGGGAGCCGTATCTAAATCTCCATGAAGGAAGGAAGGAGATCTGGTTCCATGCTTTCAGCACATCACTATCACATTTGCTCACGCATGCAAAACATTCACTAGCATGCAAGGCCTCTTTGCTGCAAGACCCTGGGCACCGAGGTGACCAAAAGTCACCGAGTCAGCAGGAGGCTGCATTACCAATTCCCATCGCTTGGAGGGCCTGAGATTTCTGAGCTACTGGAATGCAAATAAACAAAACCCATACTCTGGATTTGTGCCCCACACAAGTTCCTCAAGTTCCAAGAAGCCCTGATTTTATTCATCTTCACATTTGGGATTTGTGCAGTGTGGACCAGAATGTTTCAGCACTTCTTAAAAACAAGAAATAAACCCCAAACAAACCAGAACTAGTCTACCATAAAGTGACATTTCTAACTCTGTAACTCAATTGCAAGCCTCCAGATATTTGATCACTTGCATCAAATCCCTGCTCTTCAATGTAGCTGACCACAACATAAATTTTAAAGTTGAGATGATGTTAAAGTAACTTTCTAACCCTTTGTGGTTTCAAAAAAAATGCTTAAAAATGCAACCCAAGTGCGCGGAAAATGCAACCAAAGCTTAATCTGACTGAGAGCTTCTTAACTTGAGGGGAAATCTGGTACGCTTCAGATTTGCAGATGGCACGATTAAACAAGTCAACTGCTAGATTTTTAGAAGTCCATCAGTCGTCTTAGTGATCATAACCCCACCACATAAAGGCAGGGTATGAGTTTATAGAAAGGGTCCTGATGGGTCACAGCTGCTACTGCTTCCTCAGGTTTTCCAGCCAGCTAGTGAAGTATTTAGCCCTTCTTCCAAGGAAAATGTCCTCGCAGGATGTGTACTTCATGGTACATGACTGTGTTTCAAATGCTGCAACCATTCTGGAGAGTGAGAAGTTTGCTGCTACCACAGCTAAAGCACTTACAAGAACCTGCCAGCTCAAACAGTGGCACTTCAGGAAATGGCCACTAAGCTATTACCCACCAAAATAAACCAACCACCCTCATTTTTCCATGACCACTTCATGGTCACGAGCAACCCTGGAATATTCCTACAACCATGACAACCCATGAAGGAGCCCAGGTCAGCAGCTGTCCTAAAAACACAAGCCAGGAAACACGAGGGCTTCTCGGAGACTGGCCCAAGGGCAGACTGAGGCACTGAAAGAGCAGCATGAGCAAGCTCACATGAGACCCCATCCAGTCACTAATTATTACAGGGATTATAAAGCCTTCAGGACTGTCAGTTCTGCTGGTTTTTACTAGCAATAAATTCCTTTATAAGAAACAGAGCAAGAGCTATGGTTGCTTCTGCTCCACCTCGATCCCACAAGAGCCCATGCTTTCAGCACGGGTGCTCCCACACCAGGCTGACCAGTTTAATTGCAAGATGGAAGTTGCAGAAGTTCTTACTGCTACTTTGCTTTTCTGCTTTTAAAACCCCTTAGTCTGAGCTCCCAGTGAAGTCCTTCTTTTAACCCTGCCTGGCAAAGAGGATCCAGAAAGTCTTACAGAGCAACAGAAAACGTAGCCAAAGCTGTTTCTCCTCTTGGACATGCACATGAAGCCTAGGAATGGTCCAAACTCAGCGGGCTCAGTTTTGCACAGACATAGCTTCCATTTGCACCAGTGGCTAACACACCAGTGGGGGAAAAAATACAAGTAAAATAAACAGTCCCCATGGAACGCAGTAACACGCAAGGGTCAACAAAGCAACCTCCATGAGCTCTACCAAGTGGCCAGGATCCAGAACAGCATCCCATCCCCACTAAGGGCGAGATGTTCTGTCTGTCAGATAAACAGAGAGGGCCAGAGCCCGCAGCCAACGCCTGCATCATGTTAACGAACCCACAGCTTCAACTCTGTAAAAGAAAAGAGTCCAATCTGCTGGTTTCAAAACACCAGCCCCGTTGATAAAGTATGAAATATTAGCATTGTTTAAGGTGACCAGCCCGACTCAAGGCCTCCCCATCCAAGAATTGTCATGCCTGTAACACAATATTGATGTGGTGGCTTATAATTCTTACTTTACATAAAAGCTTCATTGTGTGCCAAATTCAATCTCCACAGGCTACCTGAGCCACAGATTTTTACAAGTCTACATTTCAGCGCTGTGAGTCTACAATACACATAATTTTCAATTATGTTAGGGCAGAACAGGATCACTGCCTATATAACATTACTGGTTGGAGGAAATGAGACTCAGCCCTACTGCCGAGAGAGCTAACTGGATCCAGATGGCGGGCCGAGCGAGGCAGCGTCCGAGGGAGCGATGTCGCAGCAGCCTCCCCCCTCCACAACTCTCTCTTGCACAATGGAAGGAAACGCCAAGCCATGGCTGGGGCTGGGAGCTGGGACAGGAGGATGCTTGGACAGAGGGGAGTCGCAGCATGGCGTTGGGAGGGCAGAGGAGGAGAGGGGAGACGCGTGATTGCTTTCACAGGTTTACTACAGCCACCCTACGCTGTGATAGTCTTATTAAAGAGGAGAAAAATTAAGTCCTGTTACAGCAAAGAGGTAAATCCTTTCCTTCCTCAAGCAACTAAATAGCAGGAAATCCTCTTCTCTGGGCCCTAAATGCAGATTTGAGCCAGACGGTTCCTCTGATTTGCAAGGAGTCCACACAAATCCAAAGCCGACTTTCCCAGCCTTCTGACACTGCCTTTACATTCCTGCACCAGGGGGGAAGGGTAGGAGGGAGGGAAGTTCCCACCATCCTGCTCCTGCAAACGCTGGACATGGGCTCGCTCCTCTCCCGCTTCTGTGTCTCAGTGTGGAAACTCGGACTTGCCTGTACAAACATTGAACTTTTCAACAAATTAACTCTAACAAATCTGTGCACATTATTCCGGAGCAGAACTGTTGAAACGGGCTCTGCTGGCCTGCTTTTAACTTTTTTTTACATGTCATCTTGGCGTTAGTGTTTTATTCCCTGTTTAACAATATGATCTGATGGGGATCATTAGCATGTGTGTGTGTTTAAGAAAAAAAAAAAAGAAGAAGTTTTATGGCAAGTCTCAGAGAGCTTAAGCAAATTAATTGTTAAGCTCCAGGCCTCCGCACAAAAATTAAAACACGTATGGGGCGAGCATACTTGAGAGAAACCAAAGCTTTTAAAAAGGCTGTTAAATTGTCAGCACAAGGGAAAAGGCAAATGATTTGAACAGCACAGATTCCTTCTGTAGAAGGGGAACAAAAATGACCTAAACCACTCTACCCTTCACTCGTATGAGCATCACGTCCGCACCTCCATCTGCAGCCAGAAGGTCCTGCGAAGCACAGACCCACTGAGAGCAGTTTTGCATGCCCACCCTGCAAATACCTCCTAAAGTGGCTGCCTTCCTGGGCAGCGGTAGGGCAAATAAACATATTTCCCAAGGTTTCACGGCAGAGTTGGTCAAAAGCAGCTAAAATTCACACTGAAAACTAGAGGAGTTCAGTGGAAACTCCTACCCAGAGCCAGCAGCCACCCCCATGCAGGCTCGCAGCCCT